ACATTGCATTCCATTCTTGATGGAGGGTTTGTTCCGATACATAAAGATATTGTATAACAGGATCTCTTTGGCGTATTCATAACATCCCAAACATGCTCTGTGGGATGGGGATCTGGACTTTTCGCTGGCCAAGGTAGATTTCCTACCGCCTCTTGACGTTAGAAATCACCAACGGCACGTGCACGATGTGGCTTAGCATTGTTGTCCATGAAGACTGGTCTTGTGTTCAGAGGATGGTCATCGAAATATGGTACAACAACCTTGTCTAGGATGTCAGTGATGTATTGTCCATTCAGATTCTGTCTGCTCGTCACTAGGTCAAGTTTACAGTCATAAGACAGGCACCCCCACATCATCAATGAACCCCCGCCAAACGGTACTTGCTCCAAGATATTCCGTTGTGCATATGCAGTGTTTCTGCGGCGCCACACACGAGCTTGGCCATCAGCCATGAACAAACGAAATCAACCCTTCCCAATCACGACAAATATCAGTGACGTCGAGTGTGACACCAAGGTACCTGCCGAAACGTCGCACTCATTGCAATAAAGAAGTTGACTATCCATAAAGCTTGGTTTTCCTTCACAACAAAGCAATGCATTTAAACACCAAACTATAAGTATTTACTTATATAAGTATTTACTTATAGTTACAGAAGTCTTTCAAAATCTATATAGTAAACATGTCCATAACTATTGTAATCGTGTCTGTATGATTGCAAATACATTTCTACCCCTGCGCTTACAACGTGACCCCAACATGTTCCAGATAAGCAAGATGCGACGGCTTGCTATCACTTGGGATTACAACTTCAGTTTCTTTATGGATCTTGTGGAGGCGCATGCAACAAAATGGCCCAAAATGGAACATGAACGTGTTGAATGCCCCGTAGTGTGTTAAGTCAGTGCGTGATGTTGTCAGCGGTAGAATGCATAAAACATGAACCACAAACCTATTTTATTCCAGCCCAGCTTGTTCATAAAATAGTTTTGCAGTTGTTTCCCTGACAAAGGTGTCAAATGACATCCTGACATATCATTCGTATTTAAGCATCATTACATCAATTGTTTGTTCAAATAACACGGCACAAGTGATATATCATGCCACATATAAGGTCAGTATATAGGAGAAAGAAATCTTGAAAAGAACACCTACAATTTCTTGGCTTGTACTGGATTCATAAAGCTTGGTAAAATCCTTGAAAAGAGATGTATGTTGCCAGGTCAAATGTAGCACCAAAGATTAACCATAATGCCTAATATAATCAATGGAGCCGTATCTTCATATCCATAGAAATTATTTGAGAAAAATGAAAAAAAACCGTTGATCTACGAAAAACTCAAAATATTAGGTGTGTTTTGACGGAGTCAACCTCAGATATGTACATTTCATTTCTGTTCCACACAACAAACTCCAAGAAATGATGCATTCCTTGATTCATGGGACATGTGTCAGAAAGGCTGGTGATGCATATCGATCTTCAAGGCCCAGGAAAATGTGCCCAAAGTGAAAGTAAATACTATACTGAGAAAATAGTATGTGAAATGACCCATCTCCATGTGTGTATCGTTTAGTAGCAATCAGGATTTTTGATCCGATTGTCAAACTTGAGAATATGACCGAGAACTTAAACTTCAACTATGCTGTTATATCTTCCAATTATCATCAAATAGCCAATTCCCTTGCAGTAATTCACATACATTCAGCTTTCCAAGAGTCAAATTTCCTTCCTGTCGAGCACTATGTCGGGTATTTCTAGCTTTAGATTCTACATTACACAATTCTTGAAGTAAAGTCGAGCATAATTTCAACAAACGCCACGTGACTCTTCTCAAAAGTTTTGATCAGGGTTACGAAATTCAAGGCCTCAGTGAAGCTTTCGAAATGTTTTAGGATGGAGATGTGGAGGATAATTCCAAATTTGCCGCATTAGTGACGCAATCCTCTTTTCCTCTTGCACGTATCACACGTTCAGGGGAACATTTGACTCGCCTTTGCATGCGTTTATGGTGGGGGCGAACAGCTGTTAATTTTTCTATTCGAGAGTGATTGATGATAAAGCTGTTTGTGATACAATCAGGATCGTACGAAAGAATGTGCTTTTGGCAGAAATTCTTTGTTATTATGGAAAGAAATTCGTAGCTATTATTTTCTGGAATTAATTCCATGTTCACAGCAGGTGTTCTGTTTGTTTTATCCAAATATCAATATAAGAGATGGCATTTGAAAGTAATTACTTAGAAGTACCTTTCCAGAGCTACATTATGTATTCATTTGGTTTCGTTTGAATTCCAATTAATTTGGTTACATGTAAAATGAATGCATAATAGGCAGGAAATTGCACAAGGGGCTCGTATTCGTAAACCTTTCAACCATGACTGATTACGTATTTTCTCCAATAAATGAGGAAATATAAATAACCCGCTTTCTTTTGGATGAAATTTATCATTTTGCCAATTAACCTAAATCCTAACACTGGTGGTTACATGTAGCCTCAGCATTTGTAACTATGGTTACCACATTTCCAGATCTATTATTTATCCTATCTTTGCGTCAAATGTGTTCTTCTGTAAGCATATAAGGCTGATATAAGTGAAGAACATGGGGGTAGTGATGTTGAGTTCTGATGGTAATCGTGTCACTTCTACAGTTATAAATCCTGAACTATATGGAAAAGGGACATTTGTATCCGCATTGCAGCCATGGCATTCTTTTACAAATAATCACACAAAAACTACAATGATAATGTAAGCATTTAATGCTGATATAAGACAAGAACATGAGGGTAGTGATGTTGATTTCTAATAGTAATCGTGTCACTTCTACAGTTGTAAACCCTGAACTGTATGGAAAAGGGACATTAGTAGGTTGTGTTGTATCCGCATTGCAAGCATGGCATTTTAAACCAAAAATCACACAAAAACGATAATGATAATGGCATGTTGTATGGCTGATGGCAATAATATCCTGTCACATTTCCGGTTGAGGTCAGTATTCACATTTTTTGCGATCTTGTGTTTCTTTGATGCATAATTAAAATATGATGACACTTATCATAAACTAAACTAGCCACGGGCATTAAATGTGCACATAATGTCAAGAATTTTGGTTTCCGTCAAGTCTACCACATCTTCATGCATGATGATAAATGTCAATACTATTGGCCTGTGCCGTAGAATATTTAGTCGAAGTTGTGTTCCTCTTAATCAAGAATCAGACATTTTATAAGAAATTGTGCTCATTACGTTACTGAAATCTTACAAAATGCATTTGGCATTTCAAGTGAAAACGTCGTCTGTTGCAGACACTGCGCAAACATAACAACGAAATAGCATATTATTTTAGAAATACCAATATATCAAAATGAAAAAAGTGAATCATACGTTTGATACCTCTGCAAAGTTTCATAATAAAACCTTAAAGAGTTTCCGGTTGATGCTGCATAAACAGACAGATCTAAGGCCAGTATATTGCCAAGGAAGCAATAAAACTTGTATTAATAAATACTAAAACATCAAAAGGCACCAGTTCATCATGTGTTGACACACGCATAATACACGTATAATAATGTGTTAAATAATAAAATAGCAAAAGCTTTCCCAGTAATGAGTTTCCGACGGACAGTATCCATTCCTATATCCTCTTCCTACTTTGTGATTGAGTATAAAAACTAAACTATCTTGTAGATAATGTTGGTTCAAACTGTTTTCAACTCATCTGTCACCAAGAAGTTGCGATTTTCAACACCATGTGACCATGCATATGGTTACTGTGTTTTCTCGTGACTCTTGCATTGACACTGCCAACTCGTTAGTTTGAAAGATTGCCTACGTCTCATATTTCTCGTTAATTTATTCTTTTCCAGGTCATTACATCCAGTTGGCATTTCCCCGACATCCTAGAAAGTCGATCGAAATTTAGGCTGTTATATAGATGGTAGATTTTTCCCTGTAGTTAGTAACATTTGGAAATTCTTTGTTTCGAGCTGGCCGCCAAGTTCCAATTCTGTTTGCACATCTAATGCTTTATGGGCGATATGTGACATGTCTAGTTTCATCTGACGGGTCTTGTATATTTAAACAGTCTCTTTTCGTCTGTTCAACACCTAGTACAAATGCTACCATGTATCTCTTCACAAGAAGTTGCGATTTTCAACACCACTGAATGTCGCAACAGATCCTGGAAGAGGGCGATAAATCTCCAAATCAACGGTATCAGTTGGCCTTCTTCCTCTCTTGTGACCATGGTTACTGTGTTTTCTTTGAGAACCAAGAACAGACTCTTTTAATGACACCGGCAACTCGTTAGAAAGACTACCTACGTCTCATCTTTTTCTTTAATTTATTCTTTTTCCGGGTCATCCAATTGGCATTTCCCTGGACATCCTAGAAAGTCGATCGCAGTTTAGGCTGTTAGATAGATGGTGGATTTTCTCCATGTAGTTAGTCATGTTTAGAAGCATTTTTGTTTCGATCTGTACTGGCTGACTGACTGAGTTTAGTTTCATCGCCGAGTCTTGTATGCAATCAGTTCCGTCAATATCACGGCGGGGACACTTAGTAAAATGCTACCAAGTTCTAGTTTGCTTGGTTCATGAGAATCTATCCCGCATTTCATTTCTTATGCTGCCTAGGTTCAACACTGTGCTATGAGGGCGATATGTGTCTAGTTTTATCTGACGAGTCTTGTATGTTTAAACAGTTTCTTTTCGTCTTTTCAACACTTGGTAAAATGCTACCAAGTTCTAGTATTTCTTGGTTCATGAGAACCTATCCATAAGCATTTCATTTCATTATGAAAAATGCCATTGTACAATTCTGGCTATAAGTCAACGCAACGATGACAACCAGATAATGAAGAGAGGAAATTTAAATAGAAAGTGTAAATGCCTTATTATGACGTATCAGATGAAAAACTACCAAAGGAAGACGAAAGATGTAAATACGAATGCAGCGAATACGTCCCTTTATTTACATTTACACAGTTCCTCTCTTCATTTTGGGCAGGGGCTTTCGGGTAGCCAAGTGGTTAAAGATTTCGCTCGTCAAGCCGTATACACGGGATGGATTCCCCACATGGCTGCACTGTGTGAAGTCCATATCTGATGTCCCTCGCCGTGGTATTGCTGGAATATTGCTAAAATCGAGTAAAACCAAACTCACTCACACACGTTTGGGCATCGCAATTCAGCCGCAGTACACGATAACTATGTCTATAAATAACAAGGCTGAAACAAACAAAGGTAACATACCGGAACAGACACCCAGCAACGCACACACGAAACTCTTTGCGAATGGAGACACTGATACATTCAACAGAGTTACCTAAGTAACACAAATTCTTGTGACATTCAGTGCAAAACAGTGTAAACAGTCACATGTATAACAGACTCATGATTCTCACTTAACTACGCGTCACAAACGTTACCTTACCAAAGAAACTGGTTAAAATACAGTCAATAACAAGACGACATATATCTTCTCTTTTATGCTGCAGAAAGGTCTCCTTTCAAGAGGATTATCGATTTGTATACTAACCTTTCTAAGTTGCATCTCTGACCGCCACTGGCGGCAAGTGTCTAATCTTTTCACCTTGTGTTGGAAACACATCAGGTACCATTTCAGGCAAACACTCTTTCATCCATACAAACTGAAACTGTTTTTGTTTCGGACAAAATCTAATTTTACTGAATACAAGTACAATTTTTACATTAGTTGAAATCACTAACAACACGGCATCAATTAGCGCTTACACCAGTGTTACCCAATGAAATCTGAACTTAACCATCACAACATATTCCGGGTTTCATGGTGAACTGCATGTTGCTAATGCAAGGGTCACACTAGGCTCTACCTACTCAGCATCACCAAGCACTGCTAGTTGTCCACAATCTCCGAGTTCATCCCTGAAACGTGTAAAGATCTACCATGGAATTCTGGCTGACATAATGAAATAGAACCAACTCCCCAGGGAAAGGTAAATTGAACTATGCTCGCCATGAGGACTTTGTCAAACGACTAATAACATCTCTAGTTTCCGATAAAGACCAAATGCTTGAAGATACTAATTATGGGTAAAAGCCTTGTGGTACCTCTAGTATATATGAACAAACAAAATAATAGCAGAAGTTCATAGACACCTACTTAAGCTATACATCAGGCATGTAATTTGGAGTGGGAGTGATGTGAATTACAAATATATGTCTTGTTTCCTGATGCAGTTAATGAATATGGTCTTCGGAATTATACGATGGGGCGCTTTTAGCAGAGATCTTTTTGTCAGAATTATTGACAGGTTTTGTTGCTTTGATGCCTTCTGTCATTCTGTACCATTATGTTACCGTTGTATTCACTGTATTTCTGTCATTCTCCATCGAATACACATTCATTATACTAAAACAACACATCACTAATTGCATGTTGAGATAACAAATCATCCACCTTTGGATTTCTGTAACAGAGAAAGAGAAAAATGTCACCTTCATTCACCAAAGCAAAGCTACGGTCGAAAGTGATGGTGGATGTAATGTGGATTATATTATTATTATATTATCATGAGTTCCATTGCTGTATGCACTTAATTAAAAGCTGGCCAATAATAGGATGATATTCCTTGCCTTTGCATAACTGGTTTGTCATTTCTGATTAAAATGCTTACCCATTCCACCCGAGTAATCAGTCTAGGACATATGTGAAATGATTCCTTGCTTTGAAGTTCAGTATTCTGTGTCCTGACGTAACTCAGCAGGATTATGACTATCAGAGAAAAGTTGTACGGTCAGGCGAATGGCAAAGTACACCTTATTTTTATTTTTATTTTTATTCCAGCAAAATAGGTTCAATCACATGGGTAAAGACAGTGATCAGCATGATGTACAGGCTTCAAAACAAAGTTCAGGGAGATGAACATTGAAAGCATAATGAAGTAATTCTATGGCTGTACAGATTTGTTTGAAATAGTGTTCCAGGCACATTTTTTATAAAGTGGGGTAGCTGTGGCACTGAGCCAATACTATAGCTGGTACAAACTGGTACAACTCAAGCTGGTACAAGCTGGTTCAAGAATGGCACAATGTTTGCCGAAGAAAGTAAACTTCATGGTTGTATGCCAGTGATACATAAAGTTGTACGGTCAGGCGAATGGCAAAGTACACCTTATTCATCAAGACATAAATAGTTCCTGTTTAATGTAATAGAATTAAAATATTGTTACATCGGGTTATTAGATAGATTTGGTAGCCCAGACGAACCCTCTTTAAAAACCTATTGACGTAAACGCCAGTAGTGCACATCAGACAGATAGTAGACAACACCGTGGTGAGACTAATTGAACGGAAATTGAGACTGCAGGTGAGCGAATGTATGGGTTTCTGAATAATATAAAACCTATGCAAGCTATTTACTGGAATTTGCTTAGCATTATCTACTAAAGTTTGTTATTCTGGATGTGACTTTTAAAAGAAATGGTGATGATGTAAGTAGAATAACACAACACTTTAGTCACGACTGCAGGCCAAGCTTACCAAAGCATGATCTACACTAGACTCCCATATGTTGTCCTCCAATCAACTGCAACTTGTCAAGAATGGAGCGGAAGTTCACCAGTAAGTTGGTATTGTGGAGGTAATTAAGTGGGTCTCCTTCATTTCTACACACTCTTTTCAGTGTGATTGCACAGGCAAATTTAATCTTCTAAGGTCAAACACAGCTACTTGCTTTGAACTAAATATATGTTATACAGTGTTGAAAGCAGTAGAGGTTAGCAGTGCTTCCTGAAATGTTTTCAGTGATCGCTGCCATGTTTATATAACACAGCAATGAGTACACCCTTCTTACATTAATATAACTGTCTTAAATTGGTATAGTAAGTAATAATAATAATGTTACTGGCTACAGGTCACATTTTCCTCTTCCCATCTCAGATTCATGTTATTATGACGGAATTGCTATGTTCCTACAAAAAGGATGTCATATTGATCATAACTTATTACTATTTGCTCTCCGATCGTTCATTAACTCTCGTTCAAGTGTGTATTTGTGAATATACATGTACATACATTGATATTGCTAGGATGAAGGGTTTTAATTAGCCATAGCTCCATAAACATGCCCTTCCCATCAAGGACGCATAACACCAAAGGACTTTCATACGGTATTTGTTTTTACCCTGCCTCGCTGGCATCATTTCACTCAGTAGTGTATCCAGGTTAAACTGCGGAATGGTATCTCAGTCGGTTAGGATTATATAACCCACATCAGTTTTGAAGATTACATACAACCACAGTCATACAGTTGTATACTTGCAATGGACCAATACTTAATCAAGATCAAGATGGTTTATTTTACATAAGGCCTCCGGCCCGTATACATAGTGTTATATTGACAGGCAAAGTATGGACATTGCAAATAGTGGAAAGCATCATAACATTGTGAAATTAGTTGACTTAAAATTCTAATGTATGTGGTATTTTCGCATATGCTTATATCTCCTGATGACAGGTAGGTAGAGTAGGCGAGTAAATTGGAAGAGACCCCAATTAATCATTTTCAATGTTTTAAGGTAATTGGCATTTCACAAGTAAATTTTCATGTGAACCTGTGGGTTAACTTTCATTTGCTTCTTGCTTTTAAAAAGCAAGTTAGCATCATTATATACATGTTTGCAAAGTTGTTTATGTTTGACTATAACACCTTTGCTCCCTTCATTGTTGAATTAAAGTTTACCAAGAATGCTAATACACAATTGACTTTTTCCCTTTAATGCATCATATTACATCTCCCTACAGGTGCCTGTTGTCCACAAAGACGAGGCCTAGGTGATTCCAGAATACACATGATACAGGTTAATGTTTGTTTCCTTTTGGTATGAATTCGTCTGAATAATGTCTGGTGTACATGTTGAACACACTTCTTATAATTAGTATCAGACATTTCTCCCTATAGAAAAAAAATAACGAGGAGAGTTACTTGCTTGATAACGGTGTTAGTAGCTACACCGAAATGTCGCTCATTATTATATTGAAGAAGTTGTATATCCATAGTACTCTCATCACACCAACTTCTAAATGCCACTCAAAGAAGGAAAAAAATGTCAGCATTTTATAATATGCTTCTCCATAGTTGAAACATTTGTTAAAGGTCACATGCAACCAAAAAATCAAACATAATTAAAACACAATTATCACTTATTCATGACATATAATATACATTGCTGATTATGAAAAAAACATATATAAAATTATAAGCGTACAATCGCAAATCAAAGTGCAATATTTTGTACTTGGGTTAACTTTCCTCGAAACGAAGCACCCGGGATACCGAACCCAGTCAGAGCGGGTGGGTGTGCACTCAAGTGTAACGGCTGGTTCATTTGCCGATGCCCTCACGGCTCATTGTGTGTGTGTATATAGAGATGTTGGGTTTTGTAAATACATGCTCATTTTTTGTGTATAACATTTTGCAATCAACAGACATCATAACATGTCATGTGTACAAGTATCACACCTGCCTGTCTGTGTAATTACATAATGTGACAGAGACCAAACTCGGGCCATAAATTAATGCGTTTTGTTTATGGTGTATAGCCTGATAGGTGTTAAGTTCAAATTGCATGTGGTCAGTGATCGAAGTTGTGTATTGAATATTGTCATTAGCAGACAGGCAGCCAAACACACATAGGTGTCAATAAAACAGACATTGAGTTTTGTCTGTGACAACGACATATATCACAGTTAGAAATTCTGTCAACGCTAAATAATGACATTGCTTTTAAGTATCAAACTGAGAAAGTGACTCGGTAAGAAGAACGTGCGGTGAAATAGACAAATGAAATTATATAAACAGTTAAATCGGTAATCTACGGTCATAACATATAAAAAGCTCGCGCCTGTGAAATATCAACAAAACATTAGAAAAATAGCTCACATCAAAGCCTTCACCGAGTATTCACCGCCAGCGAAGGTTACCCGTCTTGAAATGTCGAACGCCTCACTGGTTGACACAGCTGAGTAGATCTAGATCCTAACAAGGTTCTTTTATGTAATGAGTAGATT